CGCCGCCGCCGCCGCCGCCCACTGGGCTCTTGGCGCTGCCGTTGGCCGCTCGGTTCTTCCCCAGTAACTCGGGCCCTTTCTCCATCATGCCAGGCATGGTAGAAGAGGGGAGGGGGAAAGGTGAAGGGAAGAGGCAGGCGTCAGGGTGAAGGTATTTTTTTTTTAACTTTGTCTTCCTCTTCCCACCTTTCTTTTTTTCGTTCGTTTTTGCTGTTTTAATAGTTGGGGAGTGATTGCTGTGAGTGGGGAAATAAAATTAGGACGGGGTCCTTGCCCAGCTGGCGCTTCCTCAGTCTACGTTGACCGGTGGTCCCGGCTTGGAGCAGCCCCGTGGGGAGGGCGGAGTCTGCAAGCATAGGTGAGGCAAGAGCTGCGTTCTGGCAGGGGTTCCAGCCTGGAACGAGATCTGCTCTGCAATGCTTTCCTGAATTGCATTCGGCGAAAGGAATAGGGAATTGCATTTACCACTTTACCGGATTTGAGGACATCTGCTGCGCGCCACACGGCCTGGCGTTGGGGCTATTCATGATTTTCTTTTCTTTTCTTTTTCTTTTCCCTTTTTTTCCCCACCCTCACGCGTAAGTAGAAGTGAGTGAGGGCACACTGTGAGCGTCTAGTATGCGGATGTATGCCAAGCAGTATTTGGGGTCAACAGTGAGATGTTCTCTAAACACTTGAAAATAAAGATGGTCCTGTAAGAATTCTATCACAGGTCACTGCACAGTGGATCAAACCAGAAATGAGCTTCTCTGGCCAAGAACAAGCCTTTACTGAGAGAAATAACATAACTAAGTCAGGAATTGAGCCAAGAACACCCTGGGAAGTAAATAATTTGGCAGGGCCCCTGTCTAAAGAGGAAAGTCTCCTGTGTATGTGCAAAAAATATCTATTTCTTCATTTCTCTATCAAAACTTGGTATGATTCCATTAAATATTTGAATCATACAACTAAACCTTTTATTCTGTTCCTTTTCTCAACAAATACAATTCTGAATATTGGGGAGAACACCCTGGCCGAATGAATAGCCACTTTCTGTAACAGTTATATTGTTCATTGTAAATTAATACATTGGTATTTTAACTTTTATACAGGAGCTTTTAATGAACATGATTCAGCTTCTCTGGTCCTGCAGCACAAAAGCCACACCCTGATTTTAGGGAATCCACCAGATTAAATGCTACTCTGAGCCCTCTTAACCAGGTAGCTGTGTAACACCCTGCCTTTGCAACACCTCCCATGCGCTTACTGAAAGGAGTCTGCATATAGATAAGGGACCAAAACATTGTGAAGATTTGGAGACCTTTGTAACTTATTTCTGTTTATTAGTAAAGTCCTTAAAGTGAAAATATTCCACTCCTGAATATGGCAAAGAGGGCAATGCAGAGAAGATTGCATTCCACTGTTAGGAAAAAAGCCAGGGGTGGGGGGAGTAGGGTGGGTATGGCATTTTTGAAAAAGAAAAGAAAGCAGGTTTTTGCTTTTCCTCCTGTAGAAAAGGAAAGCACCTGAAGCTGGCATGGTTCTGAAGGAGAATAGTGGGGCTTAAAATATTTTCACAACAGTTAATGAGTATATAAAGAAAAAGATCTATGAAAATGTTTGGGGGCCCAGCCCGTGGCGCACTCGGGAGAGTGCGGCGCTGGGAGCACAGCCGCGCTCCCACAGCGGGTTCGGATCCTATATAGGGATGACCAGTGCGCTCACTGGCTGAGCACGGTGTGGCTGGTCTCAAAAAAGGACAAAAAAAAAAAAAAAAAAGAAAATGTTTGGAATGCCTGTGTATGAAGGGGTTAAAGGAGGAAAAGAAAGTGGGCAAGGAAGAAAGCGTTAGGAATGGGTGAATAAACAATGTCCAGGGATGCAGAGTCATGAGAAGGGTTTAAGAAAAGGTCTTTAGATTTGTTACCTGGAAAGATGTTGTTTATTTTGTCTAGTTATTTTTTGTTGTTGTTTTTATTGTATTTTTAAGATTCTTAGTATTTTAATCATATTTTAAATTTGAAAGAGATAATACTTCCTTCTAGTTCCAAAGTCAAAAGATGTAAGAGGATATACTTAAATATTGTACTGGAGATCACAGCATTTGCAAAAAAGGAAGGAGAAATGAATAAGGATTGGAAATAAATACATAAATCTCTTATTCAGAGAAAGTATGGTAGTCTATCATATTTTATACATAAAATTAAAATCTATAATCATTAGATTTAATAAATGAATTTAAATAAATTTAGCAATTGGTTGGATATAGTCAGTATATGAAAATCAGTTGTATTTTTATATACTAACACCAAACAATTGGAAAGTGGATTTTTTAAAATGTGATGCCATATTCAAATGCATCAAAAATATCGTATTCCTGTGTATTCATTTTATGCCTGCTGTGACAGATTACCACAAACTCGGTGGCTTAAAACAAATTATTCTCTCACAGTTCTGGAGACCAGAAGTCTGAAATCAAAGAATCAATGGGGCTGCACATCTTCCAGAGGTTCTGAGGGAGAGTCTGTTCCTTACCTTTTCTAGTTTCTGGTGTCTGCTGGCATTTCTTGGCTTGAAGCCACATCAGACCAACCACTGTTTCTGTCTTTACATTGTCTTCTCTGTGTGTCTCAAATTTCCTTCTAGCTCTCATAGAAGGATAGTATGATGGCATTTAGGGTCTGCTTGGATAATCCAGGATAATCTTCTCATCTCCAGATCCATGATCACATCTGTGAAGATGCTTTTTCCAAATAAGGTAACAGTTACAGTTTCCAAAGATTAAGACCTGATATCTTTGGGGGTGTGATTCAGCCCACCAAAGTTAGGAATAAATCTTATGAAAGATGTGTAAGAACTCATACTGATAATTGTATTATTGAGAGAAATTAGAGGAGACCCAAGGAAATGAGTGGATAGACTATGCTCATGGATGGAAGATTCAGTATTGTAAAGATATCAAGTCTATCCAATTTGACCTGTAGATTTAGTCTGATTTCAGTTACAGTCCCAGCAGATTGTGTATATAAATTGACAAGCTGATTCTAAAATTTATATGGAAACTGAAAAGGTCAAGAACAGCCAAGACAAAATGGAAGAAAAACAAAGTTGGAGGAGTTATACTAGCAGATATTAATACTTAAAAAGCTACAAAAATTAATTCAGTGTAGTACTGGCATAAGGATAGAAACACCAACGGAACTGAATAGAGTTCTCAAACAGATGCTTACATGAACATTTTATTTATGGAAAGGTAACACTGTAGTAATATGGAGAAAAATGGATGTTTCAATGAAGTGGTTCTGGTGCAATTGATTATCCATGTGAAATGAAAGAAACGTTAGTGCCTACTCCTCATATGAAAAAGAATAAAGAAAAAAGAAAGTAAGTTCTAAGTAGATTGTTGTAGAGGATTCATAAAGCAAATGTACTTCACAGGGCCTGGTTTTCCAAAGCCTTGCAGTTTCAAATATTGACCTTGTAAAGGACAGGAAATTTTCCCCAGGCTATTGAGTCTCGTAAGATAAAGAATTGTAACACAGCAAGGCTGCTGGTTCAAAGACAGACTAGTTACTGATTGATATGTAAAGTTACTGGGAAGCTGCTGGAGGGAGAAAGAATATATGCTAGATCAAGTTTTTGTTGGTAGGTCACTTAATAGTCTAATGGAATGTCATCTGACTTGTTTTTACTGAATGTTACCAGCTTCTATTGTCAAACTTGTTAAAACTATGTCTCTTCCTATAACCTGCTGGTCCAGAGGATAAATGCAGGAAGAGAACCCCAATTCATGGTTAATTTCCCAAATGGAAGGAATGCCTCACACTTGAGGGTTCTGGGATGTTAACCTCTTTCTGGGGCATCTCACTGCTCAGAAGAGATGGGCTTTGAATAATCCTTGGCAGCTCCATCACTCAGGGGAAAAGGGGCAACAAATCCATGGGAGGCAAAGCAACAGATTGTGGACCTAAATGTAAAAGATAAAACAATAGCTCTTTTATAACTTTGGGTATTCAAACAATTCTTAAACAGGACATAAAAGGCACTATTTATAAAGGAAAATATTGAGCATTCCAGATACAGAGAAAAATAGTATGGGAAGGGCAAAGAATCTTGAATGAAGATGTTATGTCAGAAAACTAAAAATGGTTTTGTAGTCGAGTATGAAGTGAACTCAGAGGTAGGCAAGGTCTGAACCACATAAAGCTTACTATATCACTCAAAGGGTTAGGCAATTTACAGATAATGAAAAAGGATCAGAGAGATCTAAGAAGAGTGATTGGGACCAATTTTAGGTGGAAATAAAATATGGCAAAGCAGTCAACTAGAAGGCTGTTGAAATAGTCAAGAAATGAGGCTTAAGTTGGTAGCAAAACAAGGCAGAGTCTGATAGAAATATTTAGTAGGTAAAATTAGCAAAATCTGGGGATTGATTAAATATAGAAAGTATAATGGAAGGAAGGAATCTTAAGCTGATGTCAGAATTCTGACTTGGCTGTCTAGATGGATGATTTTGTCAACAACTGAGATGGTGAGTACTGAAGACTTACCAACTTGAGGGGTGTGGAGAGTAGATTAATTTCTGGATATATTGGGTACCCCATAGGGAGATATCTGGCATGCACTTGGATATATAATTAAGATCAGGGTTGGAGAGGAATTTATTAGTGACTGATTGTAGGTCATGAGACCTGTCTTAGTCTGTCTGGGCTGCTATCACAAAATACCTTAGATTGGATCATTTATAAACAATATTTCTTCACAGTTCTGGAGACTGGAAAGTCCAAGAACAAGGTGCCAGCGGGTTCATTGTCTGATGAGGGCTCTCTACTTCATAGATGATGCCTTGTTGCTATGTCCTCCCAAGGGGGAAGGAGCAAGATAGCTCCCTTCAACCTCTTTTATAAGGGCACTAATCCCAATCATGAGAGCAGAAGCCTCATGACTTAATCATTTCCCAAAAGGCCCTACCTCTTGATTCTATTACACTGGGTATTAGGTTCTAACATATAACTTTTGGGGAAACACATGCATTCAGACTATAGCAAGACCTAACTAGATCACACAGGAAGAGCATGTAAAATGAAAAGTATAATGAACTGAGAATGAAAAGCAGGGAACACCAACATTGAAGGGCCAAAAAGAG